AGGGGGGAAGAGAGTCTGTTCCACACACCGGGGGGGCCAGCACGAATATGGAGCTCAGCTGCAGCACTGGCTGTCCTGGGGACTGCTGGTTTGCTTCACCGTGCCTCAGTTTGTTCTTCTGGGAAATGGGAGTGGTGCTGGTAAATGCTTTCACAGAGCCCTCTTGGAATCAGGAGATGAGCCTGTGTCTGTGGTGGGAGGTAGGGACAGGGCTGAAGGGACTCTCGTGCTTTGCTGGCACTGCTTGGGGATACTGCTGAGCGCCTGGGAGAACGAAGTGGAGAAGGAGCACAGAGCTCCTCTGCAGTGGAAGCTCTAAGGGTGGCCTCTCCTCACTGTCTTGCAGAGGAGTTGGTTTTTTTTCTCCCCATCTGTTGAGAGCCTGGCAGAGATGCTTCTTCCCTGGGACACCCCTTTGTCATCACAGCTGCCTGGAGAGCAGGGCATTGCAGGGTCTGTCCTGTGTGCAGTCCGATCTCCAGTCGGCTTTTGTCTCTTCCCCAGACCAGCTTGTGGTTAGCGTTTCTGGGGAGGGTTATTTACACAGGTAAAAGGGAAGGCTTTTCAGGATCGAGCTAGCTCTGATCTCACTTTCGCAGGTAACGTGCTAGTGGCAGCATCACTGAGGAAGTCAGTAGCAACGAGAACCCCTACCAGGGTCCCAGTTAGACCTGTGCTGACACATCTGCGTGGAAATTATTGTCTTTGAATACTTGATGAAACTATTGGGTCTGTATGTTTTGCCACACTCATACCTTACTATTGCTGAGTGGATGTGTTCTAATGTTTAAGATTCCTGGATTTGAACACCAAAAATCCCTGCAGTATTACCCCATCCCTTCACCATCCGCATACTCTTATGACTTGCTGTGTAGAGGTTGCTTGGATAAGGCTTGAAAAGACGGGGTACTGCCTATTTGAGGTGAACCCTATTGATGCTCTGAGAGTTTTTAACTTGTAAGCCACTGCTTACTTTGGTGTTACAGATGAAGATCCCTTCTCCCAGCCCCCCAGGTGCACCTAACCCTGCCTGCCGTGTTCTGCTCAGGGTGTTTCAGTGATATTACATTCTCCACAGGAAACAGTTTAAAAAATTGTTTGGCGCGGGAGGCAAAATATATAAAGAAATTATCCTGCAGAACTTGCTATTCAAGATTGCCTTCTTTCGCTCTCAAAAGCCAAACATAATTCTGCTGCGTGAACCAACGGAGTGGAAGTGTAGTGAAATCTGCCTCCTTCAGGGGAAAAGGTTATGTTGTTATTAGACCTATTGTATAAAATATTCCATTAAATGTCATTAGCATGGCATTATCTCCTTTAGACATTAGAACCCTGGCAAAAAGGGGTCTTTTGTTACCGTAAAGTACATTCTTCACAGGTTTAACCTTCTTTAATTAGTTTTTCTGTAGATCCGGAATGCTTAATATACTGCCATTCCCAGGTGAAGGAAAGGGGACTTTGATCATTAAGAAACATATGAGACAATTTGATCTGCATTTCCAGGGTTGTTAGAGGCAAAAGCAATTTCTATAGCTGCTTGTGTGGGTGACCCTGAAATAGTCATGCACCAATGACATAGTCTTTCTACAATGAGTGTTACAAATAATTAAAAATTAAGGAGAATTTTTTATTTTTTCTGCCCAGCTGAAATTCCCACAAGTCACCTCTCAGCATATTCAAGAGTGCACAAGAGGGATTTATTATTTCCTGGTATATTGACTCTGAAAGGTCTGGGGATTACAGCTGCTTTGCACATGAATAGCTGGAGTGTGTTGTACAAAAGGCATGGTCTGTGGGATAATGGGGTTGGATGTGGGAAAGCGCTGACCCTGGGGGAGAGCAGGCTGGTGCCTGATGGCAGGAATCAATTATGTCTCAAAGGAACACATTGCCCTGGGAGCAGGCTTTGCGAGCCACCATGTTATGTGTTTACCACCCTCCTCTTTCAAAAACCCATATAAAACAACCACAGAATATATCCTATCCTTTCCAGGGGACTTGGGTCCACCTTGCTCTATAGTCGGGCCAGTCAGTGCTAAATTAGTCGTAATCTCAGTAACGTAACTATTCCCCCTCTCAGCAGCAGGGCTGAGACCCAGCCGCTCTCTCAAACATGCTACCAGGCAATTTTGAGTTTTGCTGTAAAGCACCCCAGATGCTGCCGACTGCAGCGGGAGCACACGCTCCCCAAAAGTCCTCTGAAAGACGCAGACCCCCTCAGTCAGACCTACTCAGCTCTGGCCAAGGAAGAAGAACAGCCTGTCACTAATAACGGAGTGGAGGGAGGAAACACAGAAGCTGCTGAGTTCATGCACTTCCTTCATTGTTTAGGGTGGGATTTTTTGGACGATGGTGGTATTCGGTTCTTACAATGGACTTAGCATCTCTGAGGATCTGGCATTACTGCCAGCCTTTCAAATGTCAAA